GCTACTAAGAATCCATCCGCAGTTTTACATCTGCTTACTTCATAGCACTTTGAAGCTGTAATCCTTCCATAGCGTAGCTCACACCAAAATGCTATTTTATTTATTTATTTTATTTATTTATTATAAAATTCTTCCTACACTCTCATTACAGGATTTTCCCAATTCGAAAGTGAGGCTTAATCCAGTTAAGAAAAAAAAACATATTTATACCTATTACTAACAAGAAGTAATACAACGAAACCAAAAAGAATGAAAAAAATAATAACACTAAACACAAAAATAATAATATATACACATTACATCTTAACCTATTAAATTACCTACCTTACACAATAATAACTAAAACTAACATAAAATTACATAAAAATAATATACAATAGTAGGAACTATTCACTATCATAACTTAGAATAAATAATAATACTTTTGTGAATTCACTCGAAGGAGTTGTAAATATATTATATTATGCTGATGCCTTGTCTCTTACTCAGCATTTTTTATATTAACTCGTCGAGTACCGTAATTATAGACACAATTAAAGAACAATAGGTCGCGGTCACCGGTGACCGCTTGGTGTTTGACAGTTTAATATCGTTAATTATGTTGCTAATAATACTTAAAAATAAATTGCAATCCTGTCCTTCATTGAATTTGCACATAAAATAATGTAAAGAAAGCATATTTGTTTTCTTTGCTGTGTAATCTGTCTCATGTTTAAACTGTCAAACACCAAGCGGTGACCGGTGACCGCGACCTATTGTTCTTTAATTGTGTCTATAAAACCGGTACTCGACGAGTAAAGCAGCTGACAAGAGTTTATTTTTCTATTTTTACATTCACTCACAAACATTTCTAGGACATTTTTATTTGATACTAGCTGTTGCCCGCGACTTCGTCCGCGTAGATTAATGACTTCTGACAGAATTAATCAGAATCAATTCAGTGCCCAAGTAAGATTTACCTATTTTGAAATGATTTATCGTAGTTTCAATAAATAAATAATCCCGCAGGGATCTTACCAGTACAGTGCCCGATCACGTAAGGTTTGAGTAATAAAAACTATTCTATCGACTATTGTTGTACCGAATCTCTCTAGAATAAGTTCAGTGGTTAAGAGTTAGAAAGTCCTGGGGCATTGACGCATAGTTCCCGTTCTCGTGAGACATCTGTGAAAAAACTATCATACGTTACCCAGGTCCCAAATCATCGTTTACCGAATGAATGTAATTCAAAAAGATTCAATGATTCTAAATTCAATGGCTAAGAAGATTTATACAAACTCTCATTCCCTATTTTATCCCCTTAGGGGTGGAATTTATCAAAATCCTTTCTAAGGAGATACCTATGTCATAGTAAATTTATGCATGCAAAGTCTCAGCCCGATCAATTTAAAACTGGCAAAGTATCATACTTTGGGGTGAGAATGTTCAAAAACCTTTCTTAGCGGATGCCTACGTCATAACATCTATCTGCATGCCAAATTTCCAACCGATCGATTTAAAACTGACAGTCTCATACAAACTTTCATCCCCTATTTCACCCTCTTGGGGGTGGAAATTATCAAAATCCTTTCAAAGCGGATGCTTACGTCATAACATCTATCTGCATGCCAAATTTCAACCCGATCGGTTTAAAACTGACAATGTCTCATACAAAGTTTCATCCCCTATTTTACCCCCTTGGGGGTGGAAATTATCAAAATCCTTTCAAAGCGGATGCTTACGTCATAACATCTATCTGCATGCCAAATTTCAACCCGATCGGTTTAAAACTGACAATGTCTCATACAAAGTTTCATCCCCTATTTTACCCCCTTGGGGATGGAAATTATCAAAATCCTTTCAAAGCGGATGCTTAAGTTATAAAATCTATCTGCATGCCAAATTTAACCCGATAGGTTTAAAACTGACAAAGACTGATACAACCTTTCATTCCCTATTTTACCCCCTTGGGGGTGGAAATTATCAAAATCCTTTCACAGCTGATGCTTACGTCATAACATCTATCTGCATGCCAAATTTCCAACCGATCGATTTAAAACTGACAGTCTCATACAAACTTTCATCCCCTATTTCACCCTCTTGGGGGTGGAAATTATCAAAATCCTTTCAAAGCGGATGCTTACGTCATAACATCTATCTGCATGCCAAATTTCAACCCGATCGGTTTAAAACTGACAATGTCTCATACAAAGTTTCATCCCCTATTTTACCCCCTTGGGGGTGGAAATTATCAAAATCCTTTCAAAGCGGATGCTTACGTCATAACATCTATCTGCATGCCAAATTTCAACCCGATCGGTTTAAAACTGACAATGTCTCATACAAAGTTTCATCCCCTATTTTACCCCCTTGGGGATGGAAATTATCAAAATCCTTTCAAAGCGGATGCTTAAGTTATAAAATCTATCTGCATGCCAAATTTAACCCGATAGGTTTAAAACTGACAAAGACTGATACAACCTTTCATTCCCTATTTTACCCCCTTGGGGGTGGAAATTATCAAAATCCTTTCACAGCTGATGCTTACGTCATAACATCTATCTGCATGCCAAATTTCAACCCGATCAGTTAAAATCTGACAAAGTTTCATACAAACTTTCATCCCCTTTTTTACCCCCTTGGGGGTGGAAATTATCAAAATCCTTTCTTAGCGGATGCCTACGTCATAACATCTATCTGTATTCCAAATTTTAGCCCAATCTGTCCAGCGGTTTGGGCTGTGCGTTGATAGATCACTATGTCAGTCAGTCAGTCAGTCAATCACCTTTGAATTTTATATATATAGATTTCTTCTGTTGTTTGTGTACTTGCTTTTCTTTTATTTTTAACTAGCTTTTACCCGCGGCTTCGCTCGCGTCACAAAAGAATAAAAAGTAGCCTATGTGACATATACCAATACACACAGCGCCATCTATACCAATACTTTTGTTTTTCCTCGGGAATATCAATTTTTCCGGGTTAAAAAGTACCCTATTATTTAATCCGGACTTAAAAACAAACAAACTCACTTTCAGATTCACAATATTAGTAAGGAAGTAAGGATAAGGACTAGTAAGGATGTCGTTTGCGAGTAACACTTTAACAGAAGATCCGACTTTAGATAAAGTTGATTTTCTACAATAGCACTCCACAGCAGTGCAAGGTGGCTCCTCACTCCGACGATGACACCACATTAAAAAAGCAACAGCATGCTTACAACCACCTTCAGAAGCAGGACCATCATGGCAAACTACACTTTTGATTTCTTCTTCTTACTCATCCACAATAAGTGTGCAAGAATATGGCTTTTTTTTAAGGGGGGAAAATCATCGAATGACTGCTCCCGCCTGGGTGAGGCGGAAGGGAGTGTCAGACTCTTACTGACTAAAAACCACCCCGTTCCTTCTCCTACACGTCGAGCCGGAGCCCCGGTTACCCGTTAGGTTCTCCGCGACTCCGAATCGGCATCGGCCCTATTGGGCCCCATCTGTGGTGGTCTGATGGTTCTTTGAGGCGCGCGCGGAACGCTACGCGCCGTACGCTCGGGTCTGTTTCTGGTCGGACGGGGAGCCACCCATGCTCGCCGTCCGCAGTCCCGCGCTTACGAACTTTGTGTTCAGGACACATTTTGCATTTGACAATGCCAACATGGCTGATCTACCCAATACATGACATACCCTAACAGCATTATCACGATACGTTTATCTTGCTGACCTAAAATAAAGATGAAAGTAATTTTCAAGATACTTTACTCATAACCTCAAAATACGATAGTATAATTTCATCAAAATACACAATTATTGTTTTGATAAAGTAGTTAATAGAAAGATCGGATAATACACACACGCAAAGAACTTTGCAATCATTAACGCATTAATTATCGGTAGATTAGTACTTTCGGCTTTTACATCGGCCATTATGGTTAGATATACAAAAGTAACGTAATGAAGTACTAATTATCTAAAATTTGATTTATCAAACACAAAAAGTAGTATTTTGTTTTACTTATAATTAATTTTAATCTTAAGTTGTATATATTTAATTTAGTTATAGGTACTTATTTAGTTTTAATTTTATTTAAGTAATAGTTAGTTTTTTTTAAAAAGTAGTTAAAATTTGTATTGACAAGAATGCTATTTTTTACTAAACTATTTTGATTTATATGACGTCACTTTCGAGAAAATCATGGCGGACGGCGTTTTTGGTCACGTGACATACAGATAATAAAAATTAGATTTTAAATTTAAAATTTAAAATTAATCCTATGTTTTTATGGAATAACAACATGTCTTCTTTATTCCTCACGTTTTAAACTATACTAATAATATATGTTACATATGTCGTGGTGGCCCGAAGGTTTAAGACGCCCGCTTCTCACACATGAGGGTGCGGGTTCGAAACTTACCATCGGCAAGTACCAATGTAACTTTTTCCGAGTTATATGTACTTTCTAAGATTATTTAGACACCACTAACAAACGGTGAAGGAAAACATCGTGAGGAAACCTGGGCTTATAATTTCTAATTATAAGTTTGAAATCGCCAACCCGCATTGAGCAAGCGTGGTGATTAATGCTCTAACCTTCTCTGTGTGAGAAGAGGCTTTGCCCAGCAGTGGGTATTTATAGGCTGTTGATGAAGGTTATAATTTATTGTTGATAGACGGACATTAAAATAAAAATTGGTCAACTACCCTATTCACCTGAAACTGCAGACAACGGGTTACCTGGGCTCCCGTAAGATGCAGGAGTAGGGATCTCCTAAATACTTTTTCCGCCTTGGGGTTGGGCGAGAAGGAGTGTCAGACTCTTACTGTCTAAAAACCACCACGTTCCTACCCATGGTATGACCCGGTAACCCGTTAGGTCATCCACAGCTCCGGGTCAGTCAACCATCAGCCCAAATGGGTCTCACCTCAGTGAAAAAATTAAAAAACCACAACTCACGAGCGAATACAAGTCACGAGTCACAGCGCGTTAAAATGTATCCTTATTTATTTAAATTATTTATTTCTGTTTTCAGTGACACCGTCTGGTCATGTGATTACTGTTTGTTGCATGTTAGTGGCAGTGGACCTCGTGGGAACCAGAGAATGGCCTGATCACAGAACTGACCCCTTGCTTTTCATTGCTAATCCTATTGAAGCCGAAATGCCCAGTCATTGGTTACCGGAAAGTATCGTCAAAGAAATTATGATCAGACGTACAACCTCTTTGAAACCAATAAAATACGGATTACCGTGGCATTTAGTAAAAGACCTGAAATTCCCTAAACGAACACCAAAACATAGGCAAAGACACAGGATTAAGAAAACTCCGAAAAAACCCCCACGAACGAGAACAGTACCAGTTTCTAAAGTTCCTGTGATCACTACCACGACTATTACGACTCCTACTACGACTACTACGACTACTCCAACTACCACGACTACTACGACTACTACGACAACTCCGACTACTACAACCACACCTACTACTACGATTACTCCGACTACTACGACTACTACGACTACTCCTACTACTACGATTACTCCGACTACTACGACTACTACGAGTACTACGACTACTCCAACTACTACGACAACTACGACTACTCCGACTACTACGACTACTACGACTACTCCGACTACTACGACTACTACGACAACTCCGACTACTACTACGACTACTCCGACTACTACTACGACTACTCCGACTACTACGACTACTCCAACTACAACGACTACTACGACTACTCCGACTACTACGACTACTCCTACAACCACGACTACTACGACTACTCCGACTACTACGACTACTCCGACTACTACGACTACTACGACTACTCCAACCACTACGACTACTCCGACTACTACGACTACTACGACTACTCCGACTACTACGACTACTACGACTACTCCGACTACTACGACTACTACTACGACTACTACGACTACTACGACTACTACGACTACTCCAACTACTACGACTACTACTAAAACAACAAAGCCTCCACGTCATCGTCCAGAACAGGATGATGGCGATGTGTAATCCCAGTATTGTAAGGCCGTTAATCCTGTTCCCGGAAACGCCTCCGGTGTGCATAGGCGACGCCGATTGCTTACCATCACGTGATCTGTCTGCTCGTTTACGGACGGAAGGCAACAAAAAATATTCTGCTTTCTGAGTCATTTATAATGTTATAAAAATATTGTCAGATACGGGGGCCACATAAGCCAGGCTATCCATGTTTATTAATTACTTTGGTAATATACTTAGTTCAGTGTTATACACAAAAAGAGAGGTTACTTCTTTTTGTCTATGACCCGATGTGGAGCTCGCTAATTCACTAATCTCCATTGATACAAAGATATATGTAGATCTGAAATACCTATGAAACAAACGTGCCTACCTTGTGATTCGTAATGGCGGATCGAACTAGGGATATGGCTTTTGAAACCGTAGGAGTATAGATATGTTGGTATGGTTTTAATTTACTTATCGAGAAAAGTTCATTATTTAATTATTTATCTAGCTTTGGTTTTTATGTAGCTACAACCCGCATTTTCTTCCACGTGAAATTTGTTTCCTGTGGAAATTTTGGGATTAATTGTATCTGATGTGATGATACTGAGTTCACATTATTTCAAATATTAGCGAAATCTATTTAGTAGTTACCTTTTTTCGATAGGCCGTTAAGCAAGCATACGATCAGCTGATGGTAAGCAATCGGCGCCGCCCATTTTATGGACACAATGCGGGGAGGAATGGAAGCCGGTAATTTCACTCAAGCGGCGAAACACAACGCAAGCGTTGATTCACGCCGATTTTCTGTGAGGCCGCGGTATCACTCCGGTCGATCACGTCATCATAACTTTAACGATACATATCATGATGTATGAAAAGAATTTTCCATCAACTGTCAACATTTACATGTTTAAGATTAAGCCATTTTTGGGTGTTGATAAATAAAACTGTTCATATGCCTAATAAATATTTATAATATACAATGTTTTCTTATGTTTCGTATTGTTTCCCTGTAAGATTGACAACACGGTTGGTTGGTGCGGTGGCTGGGCAACTGGCTGCCGCACAACGTGTCGCGGATTCGATTCCCGAACGGAACAACTCATTGTGTGATCCACAAATTGCTGTTCCGGGTTTGTGTGTGATGTGTATATGAAATTGTATGTTGGTTAACGCACCCATGACACAAGAGAAAACCCTAGTGTGGGGCAACGTTTTATAAAATAAAACAAAGTAATCTGCACCACATCTTTCGAGAAGACTCCAGAGCTAGTTCCAAGTTCATTTTCATGCACAGATCTGGCTAGAGGCTGCAACAATAATTAATAGTATAATTATATTTATTTGATACAATCGCACACGGATTTCTCTACAGACTATAGTTACTGTTCTAAGCTCAAGATAAATAGATTAAATCAGCCAACTTTGAGATTGGCCAAAGTAAGTAAGTCGCATCGTATAACAAAATACCAGGCGACATACAACACCTAAATGAAACAATATTTAAAATAAATATATAGGCATTTCCCCGCCTGCATTAGGATCGGCCATTGCGTGGGATGACTTTTGTCTTCTTCGCCCAAAGAGTATAATAAGTATAGGGGTATCTTCGCCGTCAGAATAACTTCTGTGGCTAGAAATGTCATCCTAGTTCCAAAACAAATAATAGACGGCGCTGTGGCTACGCCGTCAAGTATAAAAAAAAACTTTATTTAGACAAGCATATTACAAAATTAATGATTATATAGAGGATAAAAATGCTTGGATGCAAGCTAGTCCGGCTCCATAGGATAACGGAAAACATTGATGACAAAACATAAATGAAATCAACTAAAATTGCGGGTTACTCACGTGAATATATTGAGAAAAGCTCTACTAGTTTCGAACCACAGAGGGATTCTTCCTCATGAGCAGTGAGCGCGGTCGCGGCGACGTCGCGCAGCTCACTGGCTGGCGTTGGCGCTCGCCTCGGTGTTGCTACTTGCGCTGCCCAAAGCGCCCTCTGTCGGACACTACGACCGATTGCTTCCAACTCCGGCGGCGTTAAAGCACATGGTATGTTCACCAGCGGCGCGGGTAGTGGGTTTGATTACGGATTCGGCACAAAGTCAGTGTTCCGCTGGCTGTGCCTAATTAACTAAATATTAAAGTCAAAGTCTAAGCATTTATTTCAATTAAACCATAATTTGGTACTTTTGAAACGTAATTATATACAAAATAAATAATAGTCTGTCAGTCAGTCCATCAGTGAAGCTAAGTGAAGCTAGGTGCTCATTCCAAAATGTAAGTTCGTAAAATTCGTTACTCTTTTTAAAAAAGTATGTTCTACAATGTCTATGATACATATTCCAATATTGTATGCAAACAAAACAAAACAAAAATCCTATATTCTAACATGGTGCTCACATATGCACACTGACAATCCATAAAAATAGTGCTTCTATACAAGAAACAGAAGTCTTCCTTTTAATAAAGAAAGAAATGCTCGATGCCATAAGGAAACTAGATTGTCGACATTCACGGAATATAGAATACAATTGTATTATATTGTCTACATTACAATGAAAGTATTGAATTGGGTAGTTTCCAGGGTATCAAAATTAAAAATTTAATTAGTCTGTCAGTTAGATAATGAAAAAATATTAGACACGTATTTTTTTATTTACTCGTATTACGTTGCAATACTTAGATAAAATAGCGCTAAGTTTAGGAGTGGGAGGTCGTTACGTCATAACGTGCTACAAAATGTGGCACGCTGTGACGTCACACGATATTTCAAATTAATATATCGTCGAAAGTATTTAATTTTGTGAGACAAAAAAATATGTAGGTACGTGTATAAAGTTTTAAACTGTCAAACACCAAGCGGTCACCGGTGACCGCGACCTATTGTTCTTTAATTGTGTCTATAAAACCGGTACTCGACGAGTTAAATTAATGTATCAGACGGACATTAACTCGTTGAGTACCGTCATTATAAACACAATTAAAGAACAATAGGTTGCGGTCACCGGTGACCGCTTGGTGTTTGACAGTTTAAAATAAAATTTAGAAAACTACCCTATAACTACTATTGGAATCTAACTACTGACTAGAATAGAATAGAATAAATTATTTGCATTGAATGTAGGTACATAACATAAGATCTTACAAAGGTAAGTACTGTTAGACGACGAAAATCAACTAAATGAACGTCACTAGTTTAATCTATGTTATCGACAGCACTAGCTGTCATATTGACGATGTCATCTGTCAAATGGGACAGATTAGAAAAGTTTCCCGCGCAAAGTGAAGTGACGCGCGTTACTGGTGGGAAGTTGGAAGAGCATTGCGCTGTGTTCATAAAAGAATCCGTTTATAATAAACTTTTAGAATATTTAAGTATTGAGTTTTACTTAAAAGTACCTATATTGTCCCTGGGACATTCCATATACCATATGGCATGCAAACATTACTTTTTTTAAGATCTTAAAAGCTATAAACTAGACTATAATACTTTGTAAGTTATTTATAAAACTATTATAATTATTAACGTTTGACTACATTTTGAGCCAACATGCTGCCAAGCATTCTTATCTTAAAGATAATCTGTCAGTTTGTAGTGAGCTTGATTACATAATTCGCGCTTAATATTATGTTTGAAATTTACGTTCATTAAGATCCAGTATTGGTGTCGCGGAGAACCTAACGGGTAACCGGGGCTCCGGCTCGACGTGCAGAAGGACGGGGTGGTTTTTAGTCAATAAGAGTCTGACACTCCCTTCCGCCTCACCCAGGCGGGAGGAGTCATTCGATGATTTTCCCCCCTTAAAAAAAAAGCCCTGCCTGGCGCACTGAGAAACGGGTCGAGATTTTGTTAAAGTGTGCGTGCGTCGACGCATAGATACTATGGCGCACACATATAAGCCGCGCGCGGTGCATTAAATTTGTATGAAGATAACCTACCTACTTCCCTTTTCTTTATATTATGCTCAGGCTGCGCTAATAAATTAGCAAGTAGCCATTGCCAAGTAGGTACCAAACTAGCAACTAAGCCGAACGAACGCAATTATAGCAGGGGGCCAATTCTCGGCTTTAGAGATGATGTCGAACTCGACAAAAATGTCTAATGACGTCATTTTTTCGTCAAATTTTAAAAGTTGCTATTCTGGAGATGTCGAATGCGACATTTGTCGAAGGCTAACGTTAGAGTTCATGTCGAGTGCTTCTGAGCAGTAGAGATGGCATGTCGATTGTAGAGATACTGAGATACGCCATTTCTGTGAATTCGTTGAGTTTCGAATTGTACAGTGTTTTCTTTTCTTTCGTTTTAAAGTAAAATACGGCTTGGCATCTTATAAGTATGAACATTGGAAATTCAGTATAGACTCTTCAATTTGTGTATTGTGTTTTCTTGAAACGACGACCTTCGCGTAAATAACAGTCTTTAATTTGTGTACCCACGATTGGGCTTGAAACTTGAAACATGGACGAGTTTATTAATATTTTTATCTTGGAGATGTTGGAAAGTGGCGAGCGACTGGCCAATACACGGCGGCAACAGCGCACTTATCCCGTCGTCGATATTTACGACTTGAGCGATAGCGAAGTTATTAAAAACTTTAGATTAAATAAAAATTTAATCAGAGTTTTAATAGACCTATTGGCTCCTGTAATTCAGGATACCACAAAATAGACCTTAAAACGAAGGTAAATAATTCTGCTTCATAATTTTATTAGTCTATAAGTATTCCATAAAGTAACCTTACAGACCAAAAACTGCTTCCACAAGTTGGACTAGTAATAGTTTTTGTTGGGCACTAGGGTATTTTGTCTCTCCCTGCATATTAAAACGAAAATTATAAAAATGTCCAACAGAATAGCCCACTAGTGAGTGATGATGAACTTATAAAAGTTTTGAAACAACCGCTTACAGATCCAAATTGTGACACTGACAGACAGTCAACTGGAACTGTCCTGTCAAACTGAATAT